ACATCATAGGTGTCCTAGTTTGTTTCTTCATTGCTGTGACAAAACACTCTGACCACTACCAGCCTGGGGAGGAAAGGGTTTATTTATCTCACATCTCCTGGGTCACAGTTCATCAGGGAGCCCAAGGTAGGAACTCAGGGCAGGAACCTGGAGGCAGGAGCTGAAGCACAGGCCACGGAGGAATGCTGCTTACTGACTTGCTCCCCTGGCTCCTGCGCAGCCTGCTTTCTTATGCAACACAGGCTCATCTGCCCAGGGGTGGCACCACCCACAATGGGCTGGGCCCTCCCACATCACTCAACAATCAAGAAGATGCCCCTCAGACATGGCCACAGGCCCATCCTGTGGAGGCAATTCCCCAGTTGAGGGTCCCTCAAACCAGGTGTGTCAAGTTGACACTAAAGCTATCCAGCACACTCTGCCTCCTACATTCTAAGATTAAGTGTGTGTGTATACACATGAGTACAAGAGCCCATGGAGCCAGAAGAGGGTGTTGGATCCCCAGGAGCTGGGATTACAGAAAGTTGTGATCCACCCAAAGTGGGTCCTGGGAACTGAACTCAGGTCCTCTGCAAGCTCAGCAAACACTCTTAATCACTGAGCCAATTACCCAGCCCTAGTCCTTGCTTTTTGTAAGGTCTTTCCAAAACTTTGCTCACTGTCATAGTAAATGTCAATACTGCTCTGAACATCAAATTGGCAGTTCAGGGTCCTGCATGTTAACAAATTACAGGTGGTTGAGGGATAGGCGAGTTCATGTAACAAATGCTCCTAAGACTTTGCTGGCATCAGAGTTCAGTAAAAATGACTACTTGCCATTATTATTGTTAATGCCATCATCAGAGCCACCCCTAGAAAAAGGCTAGTGTTAGACAGAAAACTGACCAAGGAGGCACCCCATGGCTCAGAGCTCCTCTCACTGCAGTCCTCCCAGGAACAGGACAGGCAATGGAGAACAACAGAGCTGTCAGACTGCTCTGGTCCTCTTCTAGCATCCACTCCCTAGGGGGTCACCCTTTTCAGTCCTTTCCCTTCTCCAAAGTTCAGGGGAACAAGGGTCCTGACTTGTCAGAATGTCCATTCCTAACTCCAATCCTGCAACTCTAGGAAAAAGCTCAAGTTCATAGAATGACAGCCAGGAATCCTTGTAACTCTTGCCTCCTGCCTCCTAGCAGGATAGATAGGCCCAGAGTAGATAGGCCAGCGTGGAGGTCAAGGCCAGGGCAGCCCTGAGTAACTCCTGTTTTCTAAATCCTTTATTTCAGCATTCAATATCGTATTAAATTTTGGAATCGCTGTTACATATCCCACACTGATGTCTCTTGGAATTGTCCTCAGTGTACCTGTGAATGCAGGTAAGCATATATTCATGGGTTTCTGTCATTATAAACACACAAACTTACATACTCACATTCACAAATATATCCACCCACATCTGTTCTTACTGTGACGGCTGTATAATGCATGTTTAACCTTCTGCAAAGAAAAAAGAAGGATTTAGTAGAATGTTGAAGTTTGTTATATACAGTATTTTTCCATATTTATTTGTTTGTTTGTTTATCTATTTTGCAGTATTGGTTATGGTACCCAGCGCCACATGCATGTTAGGCAAGCACTTCCACTGAGCTATATCTCCTCAGTCTTTTTTTTTTTTTTTTTGGTCTTTTTGAGACAAGGTCTCCCTGTAGCCCCAGCTGTCCTTGGAACTCACTATGTAGACCAGACTGGCCTCGAACTCACAAAGATCTGCCTGCCTCTGCCTCTCAAGGTCTTGGATTAAGGGTGTGTA